TTGAATTTATTGATTTACTGTATCGAATCCATATTACTTATCTGTTTTATTACTTGTGAGGCACTTTTCTCAATTCGGTCCTGGATTTAACATGACGGATGCTCACGTGATCCGGAAAAGGAGATCAAAGGTGCCGACACGAAGTGGACCTACTGGTTATACTGTGCTAGCGGTAGCGCTTCGACAGTGCCATATACTCACAGGTCATCACCTGACTTTTATATACAGTGGCTGCATTCCGCAAAGCGCATCATGCGCATGATATATCATAATATCCTTGTTGTTCATCAAATATTAAACAAAGATAAAAAGATAAATCTTGCGCATGATGCGCTTTGCGGAATGCAGCCAGTCAAACCTCGATAACTCGACTCTCAAGGGACTAGAAAAATTGTTCGAGTTATAGAGTTTTCGACTTATCAAAATTCGAGTAAAAGAAGATTAACATATGAAAATTCGACTTACGGAGACTTTGTACGAGAGTTTATAATTTTCTAATTATAATGGCTTTTAAAGGAAGAAAATCAATATTTAACAGTGATTATTTATTGTATACATATGATAAATGTAACCATAGAACAAAATACCAGGCTATTATACTCACGGTTACACATAGCTACAACTTCGAATTATAAAGGTAGCGACAATGGAAATTCGACTTATAGAGGTGAATTTCGACTTGTAGAGGTCTGGCTACTTTAAGTTCGAGTTACAGAGGTAAAATATATATCTAAATGCCTGACAAATAATTCGAGTTAAGATTTTATTTCGATTTATAAAAGTTTTCCGCAGCGGAGCGGAAGGGGATGAACACAATTTTCGTCTTATAGAGGTTTTCGAGTTGTAGAGGTTCGAGTTATCGAGATTTGACTGTACTTGGCGTCGTGCCGCTACCGCGTCGCTTGATTCCATACATTTCAACTTATTAATATGATATCTGTACAGATTAAGAATTTTCGATTAAATAATTCAAAATTTAGAAAGGTTTATAATTTCATTTATTGTTTTTTACTGTTTTTTTTTACATTTACTGTTTTTATAAAAGTCATAATACCATATAAGACTATAAATCAGATTATTAAATACCTAAGTTAGATTTTATTCTGTACTCTTTTATATGTATATTAATTATACAATAAATATGTATATACAAGAGTACAGAATAAAATCTAACTTATTTAATAATCTGATTTATGGTCGGAAAATTTAACCGCAGGTTGAAAAAATAAACGACAAAAACAGATTTAATTTTGTATAATTTATAATATAATTTAATTTAATATAATTTTTGTTTTATATAAAAATATAAATAAGTTATATTTTTGTGCAAAATAGCCTCTAGGTACAACTAGTAATAAAATACGTAGTTCGCATATACATATTAGTAATTATTGAATATTACAGAAATAACACAACAAATTTGTATTAAAAGAATAACACAAAATATGATTTTTTATATATTAATTTATATTGTTATAGTTTATATATTTATTTTAAATTTTTGTTAAACAAAAATGATGATAATACCTTATTTAGTAACTCCAAAAACACAAAATCTTTAATTTCGATACTAATATGCGTTAAACTAAATTAAGTAAAAAATTAATTTTGTAAATAGTATTTAAATTTTGGACAACTATAAGCTGTTTTTAAATAAAATAACATAAAATAACATACCATTAAGGCGATTCTAATCTGGAATCAAACTCCAAGAATATCGCTGTTTTAAAGACGATTTGTGAGTATGCATGCGAGCAATAGTGATGGAGTAGTATGTAGTGATGTGTTCATGTTTACTACCATATCGATATCGCACGCACACATTTTAACAAATTTTCACTGACATATATCTTTTTTATTAGGCATCCAAGCTTTAAGGCGATTCTAAAGTCGTCTGTTTTATCGACCGAACGTGATTATTTTCCACGACAAAATATACATAATTAAAGGCAACAGATTTAAAAATCCTTTTCCACAATTAAAGTATCGTTAGTAAGCATCAATATAGTTCCGGCTGGTAGAAGTT